TCCCCAGCAGGTGAGAGCCCAGGTTCTCGCTTTCATGACCTTTCTGCCTTCCCTTGGCTCTTTTACAGAGACACCTGACTCCCACAATACTTCTTGTTGTTAAGGCAAAAGCAGAAAAGATAGAACTGGGCGATGACTGAAAATAGCTAACCCACTTGAGAGTGATAAAAGCATCTGTTGAAAATCTGGTAACCAGATCTCCTTGGTACCAGAAAAAAAAACACACACACAAAAAAACTGGTGGGTGGTGTACACGGTACAAAGAAAGGGAGTCCCTGAGTGTCAGCATCTGGTGAGGCCACGTGTAGCATAATCTGATTAGTCTTCAGTTCCACACCCACAAGCTGAAAGATAAAAACGCACACCCCTCCTCCCCGAGGAGGTAAAAATCTTCAAGCATCAACACCACATTTACATTCTGCAAGTCAGCCTCTTCCATGGCCCAATTTACATCTTGACTTCTCCAGTGGAGCGGTGGAAGTTCAGTGATGAGAGACGAGCTCACGTCCCTTTCCAGTTACCACATCCAGCAGACGCAAGATTGCCTTGCTTTGATCTGGGAGACATTCCTTCGTTTAGTTTAAACTGAAATGATTAAGATGGAGATGAAGGCTCCTCACATCTTCTGCCATGCCTGGGATGTGATAATTGAACATTAGTTTCTGTGGGCCATTTTAACATGTTCTGAGGCCGTCCTGGACTGGCGAGCTGAAGCAGCAGCGCAGGCACCGTCTGGCTGGCTGCAGTTTGCACCGACTTTATTGCACTCTCTCAGTATATTTTCTGGTTTGGTTCATGTAAAATGGCCAAAATTGGTACTGGGGCGGATTAATGGCAATGCTTTCTGTCTCCGGAAACTAATACTCAGGTTGGTGTTTGGCTTGAAATAGCTGAGTCGCAGTGAGAGACCAGAATATTGCTTGTCATTTTGGAGCGAATAATGGATTTCTAATATCTGACATGTTTTGTACTATGACAACAGACAAATCAGAACAGCTTGTATAGCTTTGTCTATTAACTCTCAATTTTTCTTATCTCTTTCCCATCTCCCTGCCTGTGACCTGATCTGTTCCAATGGCCGCTGGGTCCCATCCTTATTCAGTAACTCATGGGACAGCCTCAATATTTTTGATTGCATTTCATATCCAAGACTGCCTGTGTCCATAACCGTTTTGTCCCCCTCCAAGCCCAGTCCATTCCACAAAATCATCTTTGTAACAGAGCAACCGGCACTAAATGCACTGGTGCAGGCATTGGGATAGCTGCAACATTATTTTATTCTATTTTTTATAGCTTTTATATTGCTTTTTAATGTACTCACTGCTGCAGCAGATTGCAGATTCTCCCTGAGCTATCCACACTTGCTACCCTAATCTTTTTTCCTGAAATAAAATTATGCCTCATGACTGAGACCAAGGAATACAGCTTTTCTTAGCACACTCCCCTGGGATCAGGAATTTCTCTGTCAACGGACACATATATCAATGAGAGATGAAAAGCAGCTTGTGGAATGAGTTTTAAACATGTATCACATATTTCATTGCTGCTGCTTATGTGCTACTCTGAAGGCCTTTTTAGAGTGTTTTCAGCCCATACCTCATGGCTCCTCTGTACTTAATAGGATTTTTTTTTTTCTGCACAGGAGTCAGGGCAAGAGATTTATTTAAGTTGCCTACACTTCTTTGTGAGCACCTCCTGAATACGAAGATTTTGTTGAGTTTCCTGCTTACTTTCGATGTGAGCACGTCTTAGCTTTTATCAAAGCATAGTAACCCATAACGTGCGAAGCTGTAATGTAATCTCATCTCACTGGGACATTTCACTGGGGGAGTGTGGCTCCTTCTGTGGGTCTCTTTGTCACAACATGACTCCGTGTTACAATCCTAAATTTTAAATGTCCAGAAGGGGAAGGCAAGTCTGCCTTCGGCCCCTTGCTGGTTTCTGGGGACTTGCAGTTCCATTGATGCCTGGGGTCTTCCAGATGTGCATATAGCTTTCTACATTTTTTTTTGGGGGGGAGGTGGCAACACCCAAACCCACACATCTCTAGATCATTTAATTCAACCAGATGTGGGAATCTTTATTCTTATTTCTTTTTTTTCCCCCTCTTTTTTTTTTCCTCTTTTTTCCTTTTTTTTCTTCTTTTTTTCCCCCCTGCGTATACTAAAGTGCACTGCTATCCTGCTTAATTTTTCTTTTGATAGACCTAGTTCATTATAATAATAATAATACACATAATTAAATACAAACTCTTTTCTAGCAAAGCTATGCACAGGCAAATAGAGCACGATGAAAACAAAGCTGGGGGTTATCGGGCACAGGTTGGTGCAGGAGTGGTGACCTATGTAACAAGTGTTCATTGAGTTATCTGAAGACAGTTAAAATAGCTTGTGCACCGGTTTGTTAGTGATTCTTTAGCGAAAAGGGCACTGTATGAACATAGCACAGGATTTTTCTACGAAAATTCAAAATAAAATTCATTTTGGGGGTGGATTCATTCCCAGATAAAGTCAGCCCTAGCGCGTGAGGCCAGAGATAGGCTAATCATGTTTGCCTTATTTTGAGCCCTCTTGAATTTGCTGAAATGTGATTAGGAATGAGTAGAAGAGAAAAGGGGAGGGGAAGGAGATGCCTTTAAAAAAGAGTGAAAAATACGACTGGCACAGGCGAAAAGCGAATACATAAAAATTGTGGAGGAGAAGAAGATGGAGAAGGAGAAATCTCAAGAGAATACTGACTGCGTGTGTGTGTGAAAGTCGCTTCTTCAGATTTAGCAGCACCTAGCTTCTACAAGTTGTAATTTAAATAGATTGAAAAGATAATGCTAAAGACTACCAGGTTAGATGTTATCCTGTTAATTAAGCTGCCATTACAGAGTTGTTACAAGCCCACCAAAAATCATTCCCCATTTAAAGTGACTGATACCTCCTGAAGAGAGGAGTAGCCACCCATGTCAGCTCTAACATAGAGCAGCACCTTCTCCTGAAGGACAAAGCTCCCGCCTACCCCGTGCTTTTAGGCTGAGTCATCCTGGGGGAGAAAAATCATACTTCAAAGTACAAAATAATGGGTCAACTAATTAATTTTTTTAAATTGCTAGAGAAGTTTCTCCAAAATTAAATTCCATCCCGTTTCTTCTCATCTCCCGTCCTGAATCCTTCAATTCTCTGTCTAGAACCACGATTTCTCTGAATCTAGTTTGGATTTAGCTGTCTAGTACTGACATCGCTTTGCCTATGTGTCATGGCACCACGGTCCCAGTTAGATGATGTGAACCCGTGTACTTCAGTATTGTGGTGAGAGGTAACATTAAAAGGCATTTTTTTTAAGACTGGTAGTCTGATAGTTCAATCTCAAGATTCAGTGGCCTCATTTATGGTTTTAAAATAAATTAACCGGTGCCAGAATTGGTTCTCTGGCCCTAAGACCGATGGGACAATCTGACCATGTTTGCAAAGCCGAACTCTTGTAGCCTCCAGACAGATGTCTGTGTTCACACTGCTGAAGGACAACACGGGTTATCTCAAGCCGCTGGGGATCATCTGGAAGGGTTCAAGCCCAAACCCTACCAAGGAACCTTCTTATTGTTAAAGACATAAAAATATCCTACCCAATTATTGCTTATGCCTGTGCCCCGGCACTGCTTACAGGGATGGAGGCAGACGTGGTTCTGGGTGGCAATCAGGGGGTCTGGGCCCCTGTTTCGGCTCTGCCAGAGGCTTGTTGTGTGACCTTGGTCAGTAGCTTAGGGGAAGATTCATTCCATTTAATCTTGACTAATGGTGAGGGTGTCTAATTAAACTAGTCATGTATGCTCTCTCTCTGATCAGAGAAGGAAGAGCAAGCAAATTCAGAAGGTGAATCATGCCGTTTTAAGACTAGTGTCAGAGACAAATGAGATGAATTGCCCTCTGGAAGTAGCTATTTCTTTCCATTAACTGTAGAGGAAGTCTACATTAGAAGAGTTTAGACTAGATGCCTGATTTATGAATGGCTAAAGTTAAGTAAAATTAGTCCTGATCTTAATCTCTATGCATGCCTGTTTCTCCGTATGTTGAACGACAGAAATAACACCTTCTGCACCTCACGTTCAAAGGCGCCATTGGGCGAGGAGCATCCCGTAACTACTTTGGAAAAAAATTAAATTTAGGAGCAAAAATACAGTTAGAGAAGTAAAACCTTTATTCTTGAAACATCTCAATGACAATATGAGCAGTACCAGTTGGGGCATCCTGTTGCTTTTGCCATTTTTCCCCTTTACATTTTGACAACCAAGCACCCCTAAATGACTTTTCCTAATGCGGCCGTACGGCACGAGGGCAATTAGCCTGTTTTGGGGGAGAGAAGTAGGAGCACTGAGGAAGGGTGACCATGCGAGGGAGTGTAGGACCCAGTCTTGGCCAGCAGCTTTGAAGGTTTTCCTTGCGATACTGCTCTTCTCAAATGACAGTGACTATTTACTTTTTGGAAAATCTCCCAGAGGAATGAAAGCTAATGACTAACTGTGACAGAGTTAAAGAAAAAAAAATAAGAGGAGAAGAAAAGCTTGCATTTTCTTAGCAAAAATCCACAACATATAAACCAGGCATGGAATAATTGTCCCACTTGATAACTTGTATTTACATATGAGGCTTGCTTTTGGAAAAGAAAGTTTGCCCCTTTAACTACCTAGTGTAGTTAAAGCAGCAAAAAAAAAAAAAAAAAGACAAAAAAGACCTTGTGTGGGTGTCCTCATAAGTGCTTATTTTGATCCAAATTGCAACATGTTACACATCTGTATGGGCACAGCTGTACTCGATAAGGCTTTCACCAGCACAGCCATGCCCAAAACACAAATCACCCCACCGATGTCACTGTGTTATCGGGGGTAGCCGAGATACCTGTAAGTCCGTTAAATCTAATAACAGGTCCTTAGAGGCCATTCTGGGGTTTTTTTGGGGGTGTGTTAAATTACTAAATCTTGTTATTAACGCTTTTATTTTATGATTTGCTGTTTCCAGGGCACAGACAGAAGCTTGATGACTCTAAACCTAGTTTGTTCTCTGAACGCCTCAGTGATTTAGGGCGCATTCCTCATCCCAGTATGAGAGTAGGGGTCCCGACCCAGAGCCCACGGCCCTCTCTGAACTCTGCACCAAGTCCTTTTAATCCACAAGGACAGAGTCAGATTACAGGTAAGAGACAGAACCATAGGTTTGACTTGCACAGGCAACGGTAGTAATTGCTTATGGATATTTGTGTCTCAACTGCAGTAAAAGAGGCTGTTACAGAGTGAGAGATGTGTTCCAAGCGAAGCTAGGTGGGAAGTGGATTTTTCTATAGTGTTTGAAGCTGAAAATGTCTTTCTTTTTTTAAAATATCTTTTTGCCGTAAGTCCAAAATAGTCCAAAATAGTCCATCTGGGTAAACTGAGTAGGAATCTGGTGAAATTCTAACTGCCACGTTGCTCTGCCTTTTCCTCCGTGTGTGCAATATTAGAATGAACATTTTTATTCAGTGTTTTTATTTTGCACTGGTGTTGAGGGAAGCGGCCAGCGTTTAATTGTCTTTCTATCAGAACAATAATACAATCTTCTCACGTGGCGGTTTCCTTCGAGCACCAGTGCTGACCACTGTTAGAATAAACAAACTGGGTTATGGAGAAATCTCCAAAGGTTGCTTGTGAGGGTTGTATGCAACATTTATGATTGCATGCTGAGAGACAGATTTCATTGTGCTGAGAGAAATCATAAAGTACCATGTGTCACAGATTATAAGACTGAAATAAGATGTTTAACTGCAGCTATGCCAGAAGTTAGCAATAAAACCGTGAAGTCTACAAAATAAAACGATTTTGTCATTTTTCTAAATTTAGAGCTGGTTAATTTTTTCAAAAGAGTGTCAAAACAACCTCTACCTAATTTTGGCTATTTCTACACTCAAAACTTGTGCTGATGTATTTGTGTCTATCCAGGATGTGAAGAGGTGTTGCCCCTGACCAATTCACTTGCTAGAACTGTTGGAGAACTTCACCTAGATGCAAGTCCCTCAACAAAACTCTTGGCTCAATTTACTAGACCAGTTTAAAACTCAGTTTTGCTGCTATAGTTGCATCTATACCAGGAGACCTTTGCCAATCTTATATACCAGTATTCCTTCACTGGTAAAACACTCCTAGTATAGACATAGTCTTTGAGTCAACCTAGGAAGATTTCTGGTTTCATGTTTCAAGTGGTTTTGACATGATACCAGCTGAAACTTAGCGGTTTTAACAAAGTGTTGTGGCTTTCTTCTTCTTTCTTTTTCTTGTTTTTTAAGTTCCACTGGTTTATTAATTTGCAGTAAGAAAGAGAAGTAAGTGGGTTAATTTGAACGCAAAGCACTCAGAGAATTGAAACGAAAAAATTGTTCCCATGAGCTGTGGCAAAGTTCTCCCAGATCTAGAAGTCTAGCTATAACTAGCGTAAAATGTTTGTAATATATTAAATATGTCAGTAGTACCCATTACAAGGTACCTGCTGCCCACCAGCTTCCCAGAGGAGGTTTTTTGGCCAGGCTTAGTGTTTTGTTAGTTGGACATGTGAAGTCAGGGCTCTTGTGTATATCATTTTCTGGGTAAGAACTGCCAAACTAAAGCCCAATATTTTTTCTAACCTACTGTCTTCTGTCTGGCAATGTTTGGGGACATAGTTCCTGAGAAAGCAGGGGGAAAAACTGGGGCTATAATCAGCTTTTCTCCTTCTTCCTTGTGCCTCCATAGTTTACCTATTGTGCAACACTATATCTAGGAACGAAGGAGGGTGAAATTCTTCCTGACCCCATCTGGTGATCAGCTTATGCCCTGAAGCACGAGAACTGAGATTCCCTTGTAATTTTCTTCCTAGCTAAGTGTAACCTCATATGCTGCTCTCATTCACATAAATGCCTCCTGTAGAAAATGTTCTGCTGGGTTTGATTAATAAAGTACTTCTCTGCCTCGTTATGAATCAGCAGCAGCATTTACAGATCCGGGAGGTGAAAACTTCAGATGAGCTTTAAATAAGCCTGACTGGAAACAAAGCGGTGTGGCATTCGCTGTCTTCTCTGCAAATTTAAGAGTCAGCAGTTCAAAGTACCAGCTGAGACTTCATCGAGAGAGGGAAGATGCGGTGCTGCTAGGGCAGAGGGACATGAGCCGAACCGAGGAAGGCAGGCTGACTTTCCTATCTATTGTGGATTATGTGGTTTTCTTGCCGGATACTCTCATGGTCGTGGGATACTTTAGAATCCCAAACTGCTCTCATTTCCCCCAAAGCAGTGAGGACTCGGCTGCTTATTAAAGTTTGCAGTGAATATGGGCCTGCACTGTGGTCCAATACAGTATTTGCCATGTTATTCCCCACCCTTGTCTCCTCCTCAATTTAGAAAAGTCAAACACCCAGCCCTCAAAGGCTACTCGTTAGCTTTCTGGTAGCCCTCCCATTTAATAAGGTGATGAGCGTGAGCATGTTACATCGGTGCGAGATCTATGAATTGCGCTGGCTTCCCCACAAGGCTTTTTGGTGCTCTTCAGGACGTTGATTGTAATCTGTAAAGCTCTATGCGCTTTGATGTTCCACCAAAGTGCTGGGATGCTTTTTGTGGACAGTCCCTCTGAGTTCTTCTGGGATGAATGGATTCTCGTTGCCACACAAACCGTGCCAACGAGAGACGAAGTTGATGCCGCAGACGAGGCACCTCTTTGATCGGGTGTTAGGTGACCATGGGAAATTGCTAAACGTCTGCCTGTTTGGTGTGGTAGTAGGGAATGAGCTGTTTGGGCTGTCCATCTCCACCAGTTTCCTTGCTGTGGTGCCATATTCAGTGGGAATTACCCACTGGCTTCTTAACATGGTCACTGGGCTGGTATGGCTTGAGTACGTATTAAAAGGAGAATAGACCCTTGTCCGAAAAACAAGGATTTTTTTATTACCTTTATTGGAATTAACCAAGCACTCCTTTACAAATACCTTTGTTTCTTAATCTTTTTACCTAGTAATTTAGGGAGAATAATTAATTCCTAATAACTTTAACAGTAAATACTGGTTTCCTACTACAAAATCCGTATTATTGCTAGTAAGCACATAAACTGTTTTTGTTTCGTTCCACTTGAGGTCTTGCATAGTATTGCATGATTAAACAGAAATAATATTTAAAGCCTGGCTGGCCCACACCTGAGTCTGAAAGAACTCAGCACTTTGGGGTTCACTCTTATATTTCTTTTCTCTGTCTGGGTTGTGTTTATTTTCCTAGAGTATCAAAGTACAGGTTTTACAAATCATGGCATAGTCCTAAACCTACCAGAGGACCGGGCTGTGGCAGTACAAGGCACAGGGTTGCCCTTATTCGACATGGCATTTTAACTAGGATTCTGCAAAAGCAACATCGAAGGGTCATTAAAAAACAAATCGTCCAATAAGCAGATGCCTTTGCTGAGGCAATGCAGATTCAATTTGAACCCCGCTTGCTGCCCGTAAATCAGGAATCCTGTCTGTTCGCATTTGGGTACTGGTATATTTGCTTTTTTATTTTTTTTCCCTTTCCCTAATGGCACTCGCACAACTTGCTCACGTATCCGATTACGTTCCCGTTCAGACATCGAGCTGTTGCATCAGTGGTTCAGTATGAAAGGAGGAAAGCTGTTGTTTTTCTAAAACGCAGCCGGTGAGGATTAGCTTCTATCAGCCGGGAAAAGCCACGGGTGTAATGGCAGGAATGTGGTCGGCGCGAGGACCCCGGCGGCTGGGCTGCGGGGACTGCGAAGTGGGAGTTAAGTGAGGTTTCATGCTCCATCACCACTGTGGCACCGTCTGATCTATAGGCAACCTGTGACTTTCATCACTGAAATAACAGCACTCAAAAGCAGGTCCCGTGAAATCTCTTTTTTTTTCCTTTTCCTCTTCCCCCCCCCCATGCACTTCAGCAACGTTATGCTGCAATTTCTCATCATTTTTAGCAGATTTAAAGGCTTCAGAGCTGGCTTACCTGGAAGTTAGTGGGGAGACCCACCTCCACTGGTTTCAGGGACAGTGAACTGAGTCTGCTGGGAAGACCATGGGCAGAAAGCACCATGGTCTTCAGACCAAAGCTCTCAGATGGAGGATGAGGATGTGTTATGGTTTAACCCCACCCGGCAACTCAGCCCCACCCAGCCACTGGCTCACTCCCCCCCAGTGGGATGGGGGAGGGAATCAGAAGGGTAAAAGTGAGAAAACTCGTGGATTGAGATAAAGACAGTTTAATAGGGAAA